ATAACTTATATTTCACAGGTATATTCTCCATCTGTAAATGTTAGAAAGCCATGGACATATTTCCATTATTCTGTCCGAAGTGCACTGGGTCACAAACTTCAGTGAACGAGCGCCATTCGCGCCAAATAGACAGAACTCAATTAAATAGGAGCGCAATAATTCTGACTAAATATACATTTCGCTGAAATATTTGTAGTTGGACAATAAATGTGACATGTAACCTAGAATTTTAAACCTACAAGTAAGTCTATTTTTATGATAGCACTAACTGTAAAGTGACTGTAATGGGCTAATCAAAATAGCCTAACACAACTCTGTGCTTTTGTTCTCATTTATTTTCATTCTTAATTTAGTGAATTTAACTTCCGCTTTGAAAGCCTTATTTTTATTTTTGGATTGCAATGCTACAATGAAATGTGATTTTAACCTATTTTTGCACATAATATAAAGGCTTACATGGTTACATTCACTTTAGCCTTTAATATGTATTGTTTTGTTGGACATTGGGCGGTAATTGAAATAAATATATATTAAAGAAAAAATAATTTAATCCAAATATAAAAATACCGAGATATATACCGTGCATCGCAAATCGGCTAAAAAACACCGAGATATGAATTTTTGCCCATATCGCCCAGCCCTACTTCTGAAAATAGAAAATGAATGGAAATTTACAGCCCATTCAGTCAAAATGATGGATAAGGATTATTTGTAAATGCTACATAAATGGCATGAAAAAAAAAAACAAGATTAAAAATGATTTTAAATAACTGTGCTACTGTTAGTAATAACCTTTATTCTGTGGATATACACAGGTCAGAACCGGCCCACATGGTCTGAGAAACTAATCATCACTTTCTGACTTAATTCAATTTCCATTTCAGTTTATTAGTAAAGCAGCTGTCGAATATGACAGAATGAGTAACAAACCCTTATAATGAGTGAGAATCATGATTAAAGGCACCAGAAATATAAATGAATTAAATAGAGTTAAATAGAGTGAAACAAACAGTGTGCCTGAATTCTGTAACATCCTTAACATTGCAACACGAAAATAAATGATCCGCTTATACTAAATGACAACACTGTAACTACTTTAATGGTTGTTACTGTAGCATGATATCAGCCAGCACGGTTTTTAAAAAATGTCAATATCATGATACAGTGAGGGGAGCAGATTCAGATAATAAATGCAATACCACTGTAACGTTACTGATGATGATAGCCAATTATCATGCATTTGATATTTACATGATTATACTGCAATTATACTGCAAGATTAAAACATGGCATTTACACGTAAAATGTCCAACAAATTAAAGTTAAGACCACTTCATGAGTTGGTAAACATTTGAATGAGATCACAAATTCGCTTTGTTTTTAAAGTAGTGGCAATACCCAGATAGCAAGAACCTTTGGGCCAAATGTGGCCGATAGCTGGCATATATGGCTTAGATATGGCATGGCTGAACAGATATGGGCCAGATTGTTACCATATATGTTTTGCCATATGTTTAGAATTTGCGGGAAATGTTTGCTTGGTTCACAGCTCCTTTTGAGGTATATGGTCCAGATAACAAAAAACACATAAGAACCAAGTAAGGTTTAGCTATGGCTGACATTGGTAAACATCGACTTCTGGCTAACATTTGGATTACACTTGGAAAACGCATCAAGTTTGGCAGATGTCCGGCAGGCCACACCTCGTTGCTACGACTACCGCGCCTATTTGACCGAAAGGCGGCAATCTTCTTCCTTCACGGATTTTCCGTCACACAATTGCTTCAGGTAAGTGATATTTTGGCATTTTAAAGTAATTTTATTGAAAATATTCATCGTTATGTGTCAGCATTGGGAGTTATTAAGTCTTTAGTTATTTGTTTAATTGAGAAAAGCGTCGAGACAGAGTCGTAACGTTACTGGCGTAAATTACCACAGTGGCTAAGTTTTACTAAATAGGTGACATACTCTGTCGAAGACAAACAAACAGATGTGAGCAGAGATCGTTTACTCATACCCCTCACACAACTGTCCCTGTCCCTGCACACATTACTGAGTGCATGTATTTGGCGATATGTCTGTTAGTTTGAAGTGAATAAAGCAGCAGTCACCTCCTCCTCGCGCTCGCTGCGGAAGCACAGGCAGGCCGCGCGCTGCTTGTAGCCGTCTCTGTCGTAAGTGCGCGTCTGGCTGGACTTCAGCTTTATCATCGCGCTCAACCGATCAAAGTCCTCAACTGCTGCCAAGTCTGCGCCTCTCGCTGCGATCCCGCGCCCGCAAACCCTTCGAAAGGCCCTCCGCTAACAGCAATATTCCCTCCGTCGCTTCATTTTGTGAGTCTCGTGAGCTTATCTCGCACAGACGCCATTACGCTGAGCTCTGCGCAAACTGCGTTGCATTATGGACAGCCCCGAGGCGCGTTTGCTTTCGTGAATATGACGCTGCGCAGCAGAGGTGGAACCGGTTCAACGCGCAACAACGTTTACATATTGATGAATTCACTCACTTGCAGTAAAAATTATTATTAAGATTATTGAAAAAAATATTATTATCGTTTGTAAAAGCAACCGTCATTGTGGCATGATTATACGTCTTTATAACTTGACAGATGTCACAGACACCACCATACTACAAACAAAGAGTCAGGGGGCGGCCCGCGCTTTTTAGCCAATCAGAGAACGCACTCTGCCTGTCAATCACTTTGGACGCTTGGAATTATTATTATTATTATTTTTTTTTTTAATTAATGAAAATAGAACAAATAACAAACAGAGCATAGCATAAGACACTATTGAGCGGCTCCACGATCCGCCATTGCTGTAAAAAAACTGATCCATTGGAGTGAACGGAGTTGTCACAACTCTCTCTCTCTACAGCTCTGGAATTATGGATATAGGATTGGCTGCCATGCCTTTTAGAAGGCGTGGTTTTTAAACTATTTTTAAAGGAGTACTCAGAGGTTTAAAAGTATGATAGATAGACAGATAGATAGATAGATAGATGGATGGATGGATAGAAAAAATACAGAAAGCTAGTGTTAGAGTGTCAAGTGTTTTTTTTAATATGATATGATATTTAATATGATGTGATATATGATATGATATATTATGATATGATCAGTGTTGGGGGTAATGCATTACAAGTAACGCGAGTTACGTAATCAGATTACTTTTTTAAGTAACTAGTACAGTAACGCATTACTTTTTAATTTACAAGAAACTATCTAAGTTACTCTTTCTGAGTAACTTTCCCAAACACTGGATATGATATGATATGATATGATATGATATATTATGATATGATATGATATATTATGATATGATATATTATTGTATGATATGATATAATATGATATGATATATTATGATATGATATGATATATTATGATATGATATATTATTGTATGATATGATATAATATGATATGATATATTATGATATGATATGATATGATATGATATATTATGATATGGTATATTATTGTATGATACGATATAATATGATATGATATATTATGATATGATATATGATATATTATGATATGATATGATATGATATATTATTGTATGATATATTATAATATGATATAATATATTATGATATATTATGATATATGATATGGTATGATATATTATGATATGATATATTATTGTATGATATGATATATATTATGATATGATATGATATGATATATTATGATATGATATAATATGTTATGATATATTATGATATTATATATTATTATGTGATTTGATATGATATGATATATTATTGTATGATAAAATATGATATGATATGATATATTATGATATGATATGATATGATATATTATGATATGGTATTATTATATGATATGATTGATATGATATGGTATAGTGATATGATTTATATAATATGATATGATTGATATGATATATTATGATATTATATTATATGATTGATATGATATGATATATTGTGATATGATATATTATGATTGATATGATATGATATATTATGATTGATTGATATGATATGATATATTATGATATGATATATTATGATATGATTGATATGATATATTATGATATGATTGATATGATATTATATGATTGATAAGATATGATATATTATGATATGATATATTATGATTGATGTGATATATTGTGATATGATATATTATGATATGATTTATATGATATATTGTGATATGATATATTATAAGATATGATATGATTAATATATATTATGATATGATATATTGTGATATGATATATTATGATATATTATATGAAGTGATATATTGTGATATGATATATTATGATATGATGTGATATATTGTGATATGATATATTATGATAAGATTTGATATGATATATTATTATATGATATATTATGATTGATATGATATATTATGATATGATGTGATATATATTATGATATGATTTATATGATATTATATGATTGATATGATATGATATACTATGATAAGATAAGATATGATATATTATGATTGATATGATATATTATGATATGATGTGATATATTGTGATATGATATATTATGATTGATATGATATATTATGATGATATATTGTGATATGATATATTATATGATGATATGATTGATATGATATATTGTAATATGATTGATATATATTATGATATGATATATTATGATTGATATGATATATTGTGATATGATATATTATGATATGATGTGATATGATATATTATGAATATGATATATATTGTGATATGATATATTGTGATATATTATGATATGATGTGATATATATTATGATATGATTTATATGATATTATATGATTGATATGATATGATATACTATGATAAGATAAGATATGATATATTATGATAGATATGATATATTATGATATGATGTGATATATTGTGATATGATATATTATGATATGATATATGATATGATAATGCAGTGGCGACATCTGCTGTTCGTAGCGTTCATTGGGAACAGTTTAGCTCCTCCTCCAGCTCCACCATCGTCGTTTCGTTTTCACTGCAGGACTTGCTTTCCGTAAACACTGACAGTGGAGCTTTAATGTCAGACAAAACTCGGGACTTGTGTTATAATAACTGCATTTGGAGTCTGCTTATAGTGAAGTGACACTCCTCCGGCTCTTCTGACTGGATCAGGTGGGTTTGCTTTAACAGCTCGATGGTGAAGTTTGACTGGTCATGATGCTTTCACGTGAGTCAGCAGACGCAGCAGTGCTATTAGCGCTCTTAATTATCATGATGACATTGAGTCTATCATTACTGCTCACCATAGTAATGCAACTAACGTAGACAAATGGTAGCAGATAATGTCACTGAATGCGGTTTTTCCCCGCATATGCATGTGCAACATAGACGCTTTCTCGTTTTATTAGCCCTTGGCTGGACGTATTAAATCAAAATGTTATCTTTCCTTAATATAAATATAAGTTTGTATATTAAATGACTGATGATAGTCCTGTTGTGTCAACTGCTTTAGAAAACATGCTGCTTTGATGTACGACGGCACAATATGATTATGAATATAATATTTCTAAACCGTGGTATTTACATGGTACGTTAAACAATACCGCATTATATGCTCAAACACAGTATAACCATAATAGGCCTACACAATTCTCATTAAATGCTAAAAACTTTTATTATTGCAATAATATATTACTTAAAATTGCAAAACTATATTATGGTATTTTATTTGTACTGCTTTGATTTAAATGCAGATTTAAATAATAATAATAATAATAAATATGTGTACGTTTTACAACATTGCTGCATTACAGTAATGAGAGTAAACGAAATTACAAATAAGTAATTAAAAAAAATAAAAATCCAAACATTATGGTAATAAAGATTAAAGAGGGGAATTATTGTAAACAAATTGGCACAATTAAAAAAAAAAAAAAAATCTTTTCATTTCGAAGTGAACTGTGACCTGAACCTGTTTTGTGAGATTCACCCAGCGCAGTTAAAAGGTGTTGTAAAAGAGAAAGTATACGCCCAAGTAAATAATCTATCAAAAAAGAGTAAATATGAGAGATCTAATAGATAAAGTGCACACAACTCTGAAATAAAATGATTAACACTTTCTAGCTGTTTTCCAGCATTCCTGTCTGCGTCCTATTCCATAAATAAGTGTATTCTGTTGGATCTGACAGTGAAGGCAGAGAGACCATGTGGGAGTCACATGCGTGCAGAAGATGAGCAGTAAACAGATGCCAGGAGCACAGCCCCGGTCTGAGTGTGTTACACCATGAACAGCACCACTAACCCCCCTCACACCATCAGCGGAGACGCAGCCGTCAGCTACGTGCTGGTCCCCTTCTTCCTCATCACTGCCCTCGGGATCGTTGCAGCAGTGGTAGGTGCTGGCATATATAACAGCAAAGCAGCAGTGTTTACTAGGTAGCATGCATCAGTAGTGTTTACTAGGTAGCATGCATCAGCAGTGTTTACTAGGTAGCATGCATCAGCAGTGTTTACTAGGTAGCATGCATCAGCAGTGTTTAATAGGTAGCATGCATCAGCAGTGTTTAATACGTAGCATGCATCAGCAGTGTTTAATACGTAGCATGCATCAGCAGTGTTTAATACGTAGCATGCATCAGCAGTGTTTAATACGTAGCATGCATCAGGAGTGCTGACTAGGTAGCATGCATCAGCAGTGTTTACTACGTAGAATGCATCAGGAGTGTTGACTAGGTAGCATGCATCAGCAGTGTTTACTACGTAGCATGCATCAGCAGTGTTTACTAGGTAGCATGCATCAACAGTGTTTACTAGGTAGCACGCATCAGCAGTGTTTAATAGGTAGCATGCATCAGCAGTGTTTACTACGTAGCATTCATCAGCAGTGTTTAATACGTAGCATGCATCAGCAGTGTTTAATA